TTCAAGAGTCATATGTAAAAAAAGAGTTAAAAAAAACCGCACGTGTCGGGAAAAATGACATGATACCTTTCAATTATGTCGGTATTGCTGTTCATATATGGTCCTTCAAAGACGAATTACATGTACCGTTCCTTTACACGCTTTGAACCTCTCTTAGCGTTCGGTCCTTTGTGGCATCGGTAACGTCATTGGCCTAAATCGTCTCTCAGAGAGAGAGAAAGAGGGGTTTCCAGCATCAGCAGCCAGCAAAGCGCCTCGGGCAAAGTTCCATTATTTCCGGTGGTCCGTTTCCGCTATACAGTCTATACATCGCACATTACTTCCGCAGCACCCTCCACAAGAGACCATGCTTCCCTCTCGCGCTTTTCCACAATATGACAATTTTGACCGTGAGGGAAGGAAAATGCCATTTATTGCATTCGTCTCAGTTCTCTTATACCCCGCTTACCCCCGTCCCCCGTACGCAATGCTTGGTAGTTGGTACTTCATTTCGCCTTCTTGACCTACAAGCCTCGGGCAAGTAGTCGGTACTAATGAAGGTCACCTTACCAACCAAGGAATCGGCACTTCGACGGCAGAATATATCAACTTGTCGTATCCCATTGGTATGGTCTGAACAATTTTTTCCTTCCTAATAACTTGAGAACATGGTTGGCTAGGTAGATGCCCATGGATTCTGCAGGTCATATGAGGAAGGGGTTAATACAAATTGCAATAATGGAAATAAGGAATTCTCACCTCTAAATTCAGCGTAAAAAGTGACTCAACGTTCTTCAATTGTCATTCAAACGACGTGATGAAAATCGTATTTTTTCTATTAACAAATATTGTACAGTACAGTAATTCAGAGCATACATGAGTTTTGTCGAGGATTCGAACAAGCATTTAATAGAATGCGCTTGGCAGAAACATATATTTGAAAGAAAAAAAAAACGGTTTTGTAAATAAACGACCCTAAAATGACATAAGCTAAGATGTAAGCGGATTAAGGACTTGCTAGAGCCTTTTCGCTGGGATAAAATCCTCAACACACGTCGTTAGCTAAAGAAATGAGCACTTGTTAAAATATAAGTTCATTTCAAACTGATTTGTTATACGTGTCATTTTCATCTCCTATCCTCTTTACTCACTATACCAGAAATAAATAGCGAATATGATCATTTAGTAAGATAAAATGGCTTGTAAAAAATTGAACGAAATAAAACAGAATATATTTGAATAAAAAGCAAAAGGGGCTTTAAAATATAGTGAACGCTTTACACGAGGATGGAATTTCAAGTTTATAAATGTTTCTACGAGAAACGAGATCTTATTTGATTTGGTTGCGACGATTTCCGCTGGGAGTGCAAATTTCAACACTTTCCAAGTCAGGTTGGAGGGAATCAGTAGATGATAGACAGCTTTTGTCATTCTAATTTTACCCCTGAAAATTTCATATCCGATGTCCTTCTCCGTCACTGCACTTACTCACTTCAACGAAGTAAAATAAGATAAAATAAACACAGAGGTAAAAAGCGCTCCGGACGATTAGAAGACTCAAGAAAACTGAACCTGAAACACTCATGAACCGTTTACCGAATTCTGTAAAATATTGGGAAATCTTCTTGTGCGTTCACTTGTGCAAATTTCGAAAAATCACAAGCCAATACGCGTCGTCTGCAAACCACACTGCCTTTCATCTCAGCTGTTTGGGTCGGAGAAGTTCGCAAGTATGTAGTACAGAACGAATAAACTTATTCTTCCAGAACTGGGAAAGTAATTTTCTTCGCTTATAGACAAGGAGGATAGTACCAAAACATATTTCGTCGTTTTCCTACTTACTGAACTCTACACTGACGATGAAGATGAATATTAAAATTTCTTGCATTGTGTTTAAGACGAGCAAGAATAAATGCTCAACAATTCCCAATAATATAATTATGAATACTCTATAATCAAAAATTCATGAATTCGCACGTTCCTGGAAGCCGTCGGGGTTATACGATATCAAAATACAGCACAACACATCGAAAACTTAATTCAAATTTCAAATTCGTGATGTTCCAATCAAGCAATTCTTGAATAAACGAAAAATAACAGAAGTATAGCTCGGATGGTCTACAAAAAAAAGCAGCTATAGAAAATAGCAAGTATACACTACTTGTGACCTAAGTTGTCTCAGTCAGTTTATAGACAAGCCTGGCAACCCTTCTTTGGCTTGTTCTTGCGTTCAGAACTCGCTCTTTTGTGAATCTGCACTTTTGAGACTTGATTTCCTTTTATTCATCTTGATCCTTCACTCTGTCTTGATTTCAAATTCGAAAAAAATGCAGGTCAGGGAACACAGAGGTTGAACAATTTCCGCCAATTTTTGTGCATTTTTTGGAGTGGCTGGCATCTGCTGAATTCCGATTCCCCTTTCCATATAATCGACTCAACAACATTTATCAGTTTCTCTTCGGCAGGGAAGCTTATTGTGAACTCTTTCAATGCACGTGGAATAAAATAAGTATGGAAATTCATTGCTTGAAAAAAGATATACATTACATGTACTGTACATATATAAATGTACAATACATGCTTCATTATTTTTTTTGGTCACACGGTAAGGAATCAGCTTTTCTCAGCAGAAAAGCCCTACTGGAATCGGCCTTTGTTGTTCCCCGACACATCGCTATACCCCCAAGGAACGGAATATCCCCAAAAGGCATCTGCGGTGCACTGAGAGGGAAAAAGTAATCGGTTTTCATTCCTTGTTTCCGGAAAAAGTACTCACCTACGAGAAAAGCACTCATTCTATTGTGCTCAAGGGATAATCAGAAGAATAACGTTATTGCTTTTTTTTTTTTACATGCGTACCCCATATTTTCTATAGGGAACAATTTTTGCAAATTATTTCCTGCATCCCTGTTCGCCGTCTTGAAAAGTTGAGAAGATGCACGTGCATCAATTGAAAAAGAATAAAAATTAAGGCACGTGCTGGTATTATTTCTAAGATCATTTGAAAATCGTGATCGACTATTTCGGAAAAAAAGCGGTAAATACGGTATAAACAATTCATGCAAGTCCGATGAATCCCGAAGTAAAGTTTACGATGATGAGTCGTTTTGGTTTAAAAAATAGTGGGTGACACATGTTGCATCGCCTAGAAACGTTTGTTTGACACCTCAAACCTCTCTTTAAAAAAATGTAAAACAATTTTCATTCCAGCATTTCTTCTTTCAAATTTTCAGCAAAACAGAAGGGGACAAAAAGTGCAGGACGAATTCAGAACTTCTTCATCCCTCTGAAACAATTCTGCCGATCACGGAAAAAAAAAGCGTCATGTATGCACATTCACGGATTTGATTGGATAATAAAAGCTTTTTCTAGCTACAGATATTTTTCTCTGTTTTGTGTCCTGACAAGAAAATACTGTATGTGGAATGCTTTCAAAATTTATCAGACCAATCAAAAATGCTGGAAAGAAACGTATTGTCGTCGTTAGACTGCTTGCGGGTCACTCGAGGTCGTGTTAAACTAGGACAAATATGAAAACTTACAGAAACTCTTGAAACTCGCATGAAGAAACTCCTAAATAATTCCACGGCGGAAATACTATATATTTTAATATTCGTTTCGGTTATATGAATGCAAAAAAAACTCTGAATTTGATTTTATTTTAACTGAAGTTCAATCTGGACTTTTTTTTTTTAACGAGAAACGCAAACATTTCAGGGTTTTTAAAATTTTTACATCTGTTTTATATTTTATATTTATATATTTATTCATGCTTGAGCCTGCATATTCTTCAACACATGCTCTTCAACACTTGAGGTCCATATAGCGTTGCTAAAAAGAGAAACTGATAATTGTTTTGTTCTGACATGATCAGAATGATACTTTAATGGATTATCAGTACTGTACTGTAGTAATTTTTCACCATGGGTGAAACGTAGAATTTTTAAAATCCAGACAGAAGAAAACCACGACGGAAATAAAATGATGCGAACTAGAAACTAAATCGGGTGAAGTTCCCTCGAGCCTAAACTAAGATGCTGTATACAAACATTCCGGAGTGTCGTCGGATGGAAATCATTTCATTGCCACTCCTTTGAAGACAACATAATCTATGCATACTATACAAAGGAAACAACATGAAAATATCATTGTGACAAGCTTAGCATGTGTTTCGGAAGTAGTGTTATACTGCTCTAGTTGCTTGCTTTTGATGCTCCATATATACTGTATTCAGGAACAAAATCGATCCCCACGGTTATTTATTCTCGCACAAACTCACCCCAAATAATGAACAGCGAACCAGAAGCGAAAATACTCCGCAAATTATTTACTCCTTCGTTCTCTATACGAGCCCATTTCGAATTTTGGCCTGACCCTTATTTCAGCATTGTAAAATAAAATAATGAAGAAATGAAACACTGAATACCTCCGGAGTGCGTTTAATTATACAGTGCTCAACATTCGCTCGTCTTGTGCTCAACAAATTCAACAAAAACGCGGAACAGCGAAGTTTTCTTTTTTTTTACGAAATGATAACGAATGACACAGTGTGTTCAAGAAAATTGCGAAAAAATTTGCGTTGTTATCGTGAGCCTTGCAAGACAATGGCACCTATATATCGAAACTGCGCGAGTCAAATTTGTTTGTCAGGAATACAGATTCGTAAATGTGCAAGGAATGCAAATTTGTTGTTGCCAAAAGCGTTTCCCTATTTCTGTGATTGTTTAGGATTTCGGACGAAGATTTTGCGATTGAATGATTAGAAATAAGAGGATGAAGAACAAATAACCGTAGTAATAAATCACAGCATCATCACGCCGCGACTAGCTCAAGCAAACCAAATGATGTTGGACTCCTTTTTTTTTAGGCGCGACAATTTTTCTTTTCCCTCTTTTTTTTAACGAGATTTGGACTGAGTATTGAACCCGCCTTCTGCATGACAAGAACCTTGTTGATTGCAGTCACTTTGCCTCAACAATACGCTTGTGGCCTGCATCTTGGTTGCCTGCTGCTTTTCGGGGTCATTTCTTTTTCCTTTCTTCGTAGTCTTCGTAATCAGACGCTGGAGCAGGGTTGGATGCTGCTGTACCCTCGGGCCTGGGGTTGCTATTGCTGAATTCATCCGGGTACTCGTCGTCCTCGTAATTCGGCTGAGCTGGCTCCGCTGATTCGTCCGGATAAGCATGCGATTGTGGCGGCCTCTGTTGAGCAAGGAAGAGCTTTGAATCCTTTTTTTCGAAACAGATGTCACGCGCTTAATCTTTGAAGAAAAAGAAAAAGATACCGTACTGTCTTGTTGGTTGTAACCGAGTAATCGCTGAAGCATGGAAATGAGAACCTCCGTGATGCATCACCTCATAACAGTGTGAAAGCTGTGGTTTCTCCATTATGTTTTTTTCTTTTTAATAATTTTTTATTATTATCTGGCTAAATGAAATTTCCGTTCCACCACACCAGTCGCCTTTTTGGAACTGAAGATTAAATCCAAACCTGACATTTGGTTTTTTTATCTTGAAAAGGTCTCTGGTCGAATTTTTTTTTCAATTTTGAAGTAGAATCATATACTGTATTCTCACACAGCATGTAATTCGCAAATTTTTTAAACATCGAAGCGCGTCGATCACCGCGATTTTTACGCACATTTTGCAATGATATTTTTGCACAATGGGTGATGAAAGCAATTCTAGTGCTCTAATCTGAATATTTGCCATTAAAACCCGAGCAAATAGAGTTGATGCAGCTTTCGTAAGGTCATTTAATATTCAGCGCAAAGAATATCCTTGAGCTGATTTTGCATTACCTAACAACCTCGTTCCACTTGCCTTCTCCGGCACAATCTGATCTTTATAATCATTTCATGACGATTCTCACGTAGTTAGTTTACATAATCTTTTATTGCACCACCTCAAAACCATGAATGCTTGACGTCATAACGTTCGTAATGAAGTTAAATCAGATTTAACCAATTTTAGTTCAGTATTTTAACATAAATGTTTACATTCTGGCGGACTCCAGCCGAAATCTGCTCTGCTGGCATAAAAGTGGCGAAAAGACAGATTAATTGTGATCTATTCTTTAAAAAGAAGCCAAGCTCTTTTCCGTTTTTTGTAACCAATTTTTCATCAGTTGTTTTGCCAATCCCCATATTTATTCTCTAACCCTTTTCACGTGAAGCTTCAAAGTCCATTACGTATTCAAAAATCATCCAGTTCTCAACCGAACTCAAATTCGCGTAAAATACATAACTTGTATGCTAGACACAGAAGCTCTAACCCTTGCTCAAGTTTTCGAGAAACAATGAATTCAAGAATGACTGGAATAAGATTCATATAAAAAATAAACATAATTTAGAAAAACACAAATTATTTCTGCTAATGATTGAGCGGCTATTGAGAAATAAATCAGCCACTATAAATGAATAGGAAAACAATCTACTCCACACACTGCATTCAAAGGATGGCATTTCTTTGTTATTGGCTGATAATTCAATGACTTTTCTGCTAAAGTACTGTACTGCCAAAATTTCAGAAAACCTAGTGTTTTATTAGCACGTATAATTATTTGATCAGAGAGAAATACAGTACTTCAATATAATTGAGAATGTGCAATGCGTGAGGTCATGATTTCATACTTTCATCTCTCAACTTCTTATTTTGACCCAGTTCATCGGATTTCCAGTTCCATCAGAGCGAGGGTAATTAAAATGTTTTCCATGATGCTTTAAAAATATGATATTGTCTTTGTATAAAGAGGGAACATTCCCATCTGGTGCATATTGCTACCCATAGTAATATGGCTCCGGAAAAACCTGGAAGAACAAGTGATTCGGAACATTTACTATACTCACAGCAGCAGGATTAGAAAAATCAGCTGCGTCTCCTTGCTGATAATATTGGTCCGTTAATTTCTTGATGTAGTCGAAAACCGGCGATTTCTGCGACCCATAATTCAAACCTTCTGCCTCATCATCCCCAGATTGCCAAACTGGATGCTGCTCATTATTGGCGGGCTGCTCTTGCGGTCGTGTCCGGATGCCCTGGTTCTGATCACTGAATCCCGGGAACCCGAAATCGTCTCCGTGCCCACTTCCCCTGTCGTCCTCGTCGTCGCGTTCCTCATCGTCAGCACTGCCACTGACGTCCGTCACGTCGTTGAAGTCGAAATGTCCTCCTTTGGAGTCGCATTTGTAGAAAATGTTGATCTTCTCGGCGTCGAGTGGGGAGAAATTGACACGCTGGCCCAGGTCTTCTAGACTGATGGCACTTCGCTTGGGTGTCACAGTCGGCTGGTCAGTGTCGATTGAGAATGAGTAGGCGTGATAGTGCATGACGCTGTAGTAGTCGTACTTTCCGATTTGTGCGAATTTTCCCGGCTTGAATTTTTTGAAGTTCACCTCGGCACCTGGGATAATGAGTAAAAAGCACGTGACGCGAAGTGAAAATCTCATGAATCAGCGGGGTTTTTTTTAATCAGTGAGGAAAGCCACACGAAAGCTGATTTTGTTTGACAGATTCTCGAAAGTTCTTTGAAACTTGCATGTACTAATTTTATTTTGAATAATTTTCCAGGAAGACTTCACAAAGTTTACTTCGTAACTTCCGATTTTCACGAGTACAATTCGTCAATTCTAGAATTTTAATGAATAATCAGAAAAAAAAAGAATCGCGCTCAATGCTTAATTTATATTTTCATTTGTTTCCCAAAAGTCGATTCGCCAACAAATTACGCCTTTCGTCTAATAAAACCTTGTAACTATACTGGGCTACACAGCTTCTCAAATACGAAGTTCAAGTGATGAATATGAAAAGCCTAAAATTATTTTTTATTTTACCGGGGAAAATAGGAACATTCAATATCATGCCACTGATCTGATATTTTCTCAAGTGCGCATTATCCAACGTTTGAACAGTGGTTTTAAAATTGCAAACAGCAAAGAATACGTTCAAGGAACTCGAATGCATCCAGAATATCATTCCAAACATTGTTATGTTCAGCAAACCAAACTCTTAATTGTTCATCGAGTAAATTAGCGTCTGGCTGGGTAAATTTTAACCATTGACCCAGTCACCAAAAGCAAATATGGTTGGGTAAATTCTAGCAAATATGGTTCGCAATATTTTGTGTATACGTTGTTCTGTTTTGGGTTACCGGAAATATAACTTTTTTGAAATTTACCTGGCATGATGTTCTCCCACAAGATATTGACGTACTTGTCCCTGTCTCCTCGACTCTGTTCGTGATGGAATCCAATGACGTGCATCAGCTCATGCAAAATAGTTCCGTGTTCGAAACATCCTCTTCCTAGGTTCACAACTTGTCGTCGACCATAATAACCGGCGTTTGCAGAACATCCACTGATGCGAAAAAAAGAAGTGTGAAATGTTTTATTGCGAATTTTGTTTTCAAAGCCCGCAAGTTACCAAAACATACAGCAATAGAAAAAAGAAGATAAACAAAACCAGTAACGCATAGCTGCTCTAAATCTCAAGTTTGTGTCTTTGGAACATAATGTGTACTGAGTTTTGGCAACCGTTTTTCATGTCCGCCTCAGATTTGCAGAAAGCTTTTTCAAAAATTTCAAAAATGATTTCAATGAGCGCGTGCGTTCCACGTGATCGCCCCGGAGTTTTTTTTTCACAGAATTACGTAGCACTGGAAAATAATTGATACCGGACGGCACTGGAAAAATTAATTCGGAAGTAATGTAAATTAATTTTATAGAATTTGTCGATTTATTGAACATAAGTGCTTACCCAGTTCCTTTGCGAATGAGAACGTAGCCCTTCTGGCCATTTCGCTTGCGAAACTTGATGCAAGTGTCACGGTGGAATTGCGCAATGCCTTTGTAGATTTTTTCTCTTTCTTCGTCACCTATTTCCAATCAATCAAAAAACGCAAAAAAATCGTTAATTCTTTATTTTCCACGTGGAAAATTGGAGTGAATAGTGAAACAAAAGCTGCGTACTCGTAAATTTTGAGTTAACCACGGAGGACTGGTGTTTTTTTTTCTGTTCCATCACGTTTTTCGAGGGGGCTGCAAAACCCACTCGGGACTTTCACTAAAATTGGCAAGCCGAATTTTTCATTGCTATTTCAAAATTTCTGTAGAATATACAGGCTGAGCTGCCCATTTTCAAATTCGATCATTACGGATTCTCAGATCAATTGAATTTCTCTAACAATACCCACCAGTCTTCTTGTTGCGGATGATACACTTGGACAAGTTTCAAAAGAATTTCATGCCATCAAATCTGAAACTTCTTCGATTAAAATAACTGTTATAATTATAGCATCCAAGTACTGCGCTTATTCGAAAATTATTAAAAATCTTGGAAGCGTTTTGATTTTCATTCATAATCTTGAAGAAAAAATAATCCCAGCGAAACTTCATGCTGGTTGATTATTGTTTGAACTGATTAATTTTTATGACATATTTTACTTCCAATATCTTCACTTGATTGATAATATTCATGTATTTTTCGACATTATTCTTAATCCTTATTGGCGCTGCCTCAAATTCCGATTTCTTCTCCATCATCACGACAAAGTATCGGGGGAAAACTTATAAAAACGAAATTTCAAAAATTTGTTTGCAGGCTGTTTCGCGATAAAATTTTTTTTCAATCCAACGTCAGGAATGCTTATTCATAAACATTTTAGGAAATTGAGACGGATACATTTTTTTTTCTGCTAGGCTTGAAATCAGAAATCGAAAAAATTGCTTCACATATAGGATAACATGCGTGTCACTTTCTTATCCCTACTGACTAAAGATAGATCATTTCCGCTGTTGGACGTCGAAGCTTTTAAACCAATTCTCGTTGTGACAGGAAAAGTGAAACAGGAAAATGTCACTCAAATTCCCTCTGAAGAATCTGGACGAAAGTAAGACTTTCATGGATGATAACGTCTGACAGACCAAAACGGGATGCCATGAATGAGACAAGATACTAAACCTCCGGCATTAATGATGGTAAGGTTTTCTGATGAAGAACTTTGTTACCACCCCTTAATATCAACTTTTCTTCGATACTATGAGTTGCTTGGCACTGTTTGCACTCGTCTTTCACGAAACTAATAAACATCGAAACGAAAGCGAGAGTCAGGTCTCATCGCAAAAAAAAAAAAATAACGAGGTCTGTCAAGAAACCTGGATTATCGTAGAAATTTTAATGGTACTTATCTTCCCTGGAGGCATCAAAAATCGCGTCCTTGGACGTAAGCAGGATTTTTTTGAATTGCAAACATTGCGAAACTCGAACTCATGATATTGAAAATTCGGAAGTTTTACATTCTTCCGACTATTTTCGGAGATAACCGAGATTTACAATTTTAGTTCGACTCTTTTCTTTCCTGCATTCTTTAGATTATTTCCCGCTATACTCTTTCAAACATTTTTCCAATGTGCTTTGACTCGTTCGAAATACAGGGATGAGGAGAGGCTCAATTCTGCACAAGAAAAGACCGCCTCTGAAGAGATAAGTGCGACTTTCTTTTCTACTGCAAGAAATACTATAATTTCGATGCTTCCAGCTCAAAAATGAATAGTGCATGACGCTGTAGTAGTCGTACTTTCCGATTTGTGCGAATTTTCCCGGCTTGAATTTTTTGAAGTTCACCTCGGCACCTGGGATAATGAGTAAAAAGCACGTGACGCGAAGTGAAAATCTCGTGAATCGGCGGTTTTTTTTTTTTTTTAATCAGTGAGGAAAGTCACTGGAAAGCTGATTTTGTTTGACAGCTTCTCGAAAGTTCTTTGAAACTTGCATGAACTAATTTTATTTTGAATAATTTTCCAGGAAGACTTCACAAAGTTTACTTCGTAACTTCCGATTTTCACGAGTACAATTCGTCAATTCTAGAAATTTTCATGAAAAATCAGAAAAAACAATCGCCTTCAAGTATTACATTTTTTTATTTGTTGTCCAAAAGTCGATCGAACGATAAATTACGCCTTTCGTCTAATAAGGCCCTGTGACTATACTGTACTACACAGCTTCTTAAAGACGGAATTCAAGTGATGAATATGAAAAGCCTTAAAATATTATTTTATTTTACGGGGAAAAATAGCAAAATTCAATATTGTGCCACTGTTCTGATATTTTCTCAGCATCTGCGCATTATCCAACGTTTGAACAGTGGTTTTAAAATGGCGAACAGCAAAGAATGCGTTCAAGAAACTCGAATGCATCCAGAATATCATTCCAAACAGTGTGATGTTCAGCAAACCAAACTTTTATTTGTTCATCGAGTGAATTATCGTCTGACTGGTTCAATTTTAACCATTGACCCAGTCACCAAAAGCAAATATGGTTGGGTAAACTTTAGCAAATATGGTTCGCAATATTTTGTGTATACGTTGTTCTGTTTTGGGTTACCGGAAATATAACTTTTTTGAAATTTACCTGGCATGATATTCTCCCACAAGATATTGACGTACTTGTCCCTGTCTCCTCGACTCTGTTCGTGATGGAATCCAATGACGTGCATCAGCTCATGCAAAATAGTTCCGTGTTCGAAACATCCTCTTCCTAGGTTCACAACTTGTCGTCGACCATAATAACCGGCGTTTGCAGAACATCCACTGATGCGAGAAAAAAGAAGTGTGAAATGTTTTACTGCGAATTTTGTTTTCAAAGCCCGCTAGTTACCAAAACATACAGCAATAGAGAAAGAAGATGAACAAAACCAGTAACGCATATCTGCTCTAAATCTCAAGTTTGTGTCTTTGGAACATAGTGTGCACTGAGTTTTGGCAACCGTTTTTCATGTCCGCCTCAGATTTGCAGAAAGCTTTTCAAAATTTTTAAAAATAATTTCAATGAGCGCGTGCGTTCCACGTGATCGCCACGGAGTTTTTTTCACAGAATTACGTAGCACTGGAAAATAATTGATACCGGACGGCATTGGAAAAATTAATTCGGAAGTAATGTAAATTAATTTTATAGAATTTGTCGATTTATTCAACATAAGTGCTTACCCAGTTCCTTTGCGAATGAGAACGTAGCCCTTCTGGCCATTTCGCTTGCGAAACTTGATGCAAGTGTCACGGTGGAATTGCGCAATGCCTTTGTAGATTTTTTCTCTTTCTTCGTCACCTATTTCCAATCAATCAAAAAACGCAAAAAAATCGTTAATTCTTTATTTTCCACGTGGAAAATTGGAGTGAATAGTGAAACAAAAGCTGCGTACTCGTAAATTTTGAGTTAACCACGGAGGACTGGTATTTTTTTTCTGTTCCATCACGTTTTTCGAGGGGGCTGCAAAACCCACTCGGGACTTTCACTAAAATTGGCAAGCCGAATTTTTCATTGCTATTTCAAAATTTCTGTAGAATATACAGGCTGCACATTTCAAATTCGATCATTACGGATTCTCAGATCAATTGAATTTCTCTAACAATACCCACCAGTCTTCTTGTTGCGAATGATACACTTGGACAAGTTTCAAAAGAATTTCATGCCATCAAATCTGAAACTTCTTCGATTAAAATAACTGTTATAATTATAGCATCCAAATACTGCGCTTATTCGAAAATTATTAAAAATCTTGAAAGCGTTTTGATTTTCATTCATAATCTTGAAGAAAAAATAATCCCAGCGAAACTTCATGCTGGTTGATTATTGTTGGAACTGATTAATTTTTATGACATATTTTACCTCCAATATCTTCACTTGATTGATAATATTCATGTATTTTTCGACATTATTCTTAATCCTTATTGGCGCTGCCTCAAATTCAGATTTCTTCTCCATCATCACGACAAAGTAATATCGGGGGAAAAATTATAAAAACGAAATTTCGAAAATTTGTTTGCAGGCTGTTTCGCGATAAATTTTTTTTTCAATCCAACGTCAGGAATGCTTATTCATAAACATTTTAGGAAATTGAGACGGATACATTTTTTTTTTCTGCTAGGCTTGAAATCAGAAATCGAAAAAATTGCTTCACATATAGGATAACATGCGTGTCACTTTCTTATCCCTACTGACTAAAGATAGATCATTTCCGCTGTTGGACGTCGAAGCTAAAAAGACTACTTCTTGAAACAATGGTGGGGAATTATAGTTGAAAAGAAGCTATGATACTCAACGAACCGTGACAAACGTGAGCAGAAAGTGCTTTGATTATTTGTAGCTTTGCTTTCGCTCTCAGTCATCTCATCGCCAAAAAAAAAAAAAAAAAAAAAAAATTAACGAGGTCTGTCAAGAAACCTGGATTATCGTAGACATTTTAATGTTACTTATCTTCCCTAGAGGCATCAAAAATCGCGTCCTTGGACGTAAGCAGGATTTTTTTTATTGCAAACATTGCGAAACTCGAACTCATGATATTGAAAATTCAGAAGTTTTGCATTTTTCCGGCTATTTTCGGAGATAACCGAGATTTAAAATTTTAGTTCGACTGTTTTCTTCCCAGCATTCTTTAGATAATTTTCCCCTATTCCTTCCAACATTTTTCCAATGCCTTGCCTTGTTCGAAATACAGGGATGAGGAGAGGCTCAATTCTGCACAAGAAAAGACCGCCTCTGAAGAGATAAGTGCGACTTTCTTTTCTACTGCAAGAAATACTATAATTTCGATGCTTCCAGCTCAAAAATGCATCATCAGCAATCATTCTAACTGCAGCAGAACTGACCATAATGATAAGCTGCGAATCAACTGTGAAAGTGATGAGCGATCCTCGTCACTCCTACGTTTCGATTTCTTCGGAGAATGAAATCGATAAGTATAGAAACATAATGAAATGTTTCTTGATGTTTCTGCTCAAAATATCCCGTACTAGCAAATGAAAAAATATTTTAGTCCGCATAGCACATTATGCATAACAGCATTAGATTATGGATTGTTCTTCATATACAGTTTTTGTATACGTATTTTTGAAAAAGATCAATTTTGATCAGGGATTTAATTACTTTCAGCAAGACTGAAGTTCATTGCGGAGAATTATTACGTGAAATCGATGTTTCAAGACAGGAAACATGCAGGATCGTGAATTTCATGTTTTTTTACAATAAACACACCGCATAATTTCATATTGCTGTGTGTTCATTCTCCAGCAAAGTTCAAACGATCCACGAATTGACATTTAAAATTATACCGAAAATGATTTCCAGGAACCTTTGAAATATTTGTTTGCACTTCTCCAAGCATTTAAATGACGGTTCAGCATTTGAAGCAGCGGAGTTTGCCTTGATTAAAAAATAATAATAATGCTCTGAGATTCAGTGAATTTTGAGAGAGACAATGAACATGAATTAGCCTGGATTAATTATTTGCATCTATTGACTGCAACGAACGGGTGCTTCCATGTTGCTCTTATTATTTTTTTTCCTCGCTGACGAATCAGCTTTAAGCTCGTACAGGAAACCCGACAAAATATACAGTACACCATATAATGACAGAAACTAAAAGCAGAAGATCATCAAATTATTTTACAAGCTGAATCCTCCGGAGAACTTCAAGATATTTGAATTTTAATAGCGAACAGCGGGTAAACTAATTTCTTAAGAAATATTTAGGAACCTTGTACCACTGAAGGAATCTGACGAGGTCATAGTGCCATTGGGATGGATTAAAATTTTTAACAACTTTTTTTAGGGTATTTTAGGATTTTTGGTAATTTTGTAAAATTTCTGACGCGCGGCTCTAATTATTCCCCAAAATTGCATCAACAGAGTAAAGATTCCGGGTGGTCTTATGAAAAAAATAGGGTTTAAGACTTCAATATAGCTTCTTCCGATGTTGCTTTCTGCATAACAAACATTGCAAAATAAAATCAGAAATTTTTGGTTGGGAACCATCCTGAGCTAAAATTACGACCGCAATCTTCGCTTGATCTGTCAACCGCAGAAGTCTGTGGATATCCGGTCACTATATAGAGAATAAATTGATAAAAATTATATTTAGAAAGCACTTTTTGCCCTCGAAAAATGGCGTAAATATTTCTTTCTGAAATTTAACGAAGCAAATTTGATCCTGTAAGGTATACGAACCATACAAAAATTCGAGAGTGCTCGAATCTCTTTTCGTCCCCCCAATTAATGTTGCCCATGTGAACATCCTTACGTTTTAGAATATCTGGAAATCATTTGCTGCTCATTTTCCTTCGACAAACGAAAAAAAAATAGCAGCATGCAAAATTGACGCAACATTTTTCTTTCTTTCCAGACTTGGAAAAAAAGTCTTATGCTACTCATCACAGAGAAACTCGTTTTTCATCATGGAAGTTTCGGGTTTTCTCACTTTAACTGCCCAGATTTCATTCGTAGATCATTTTACGCGTCCTTCACAAAGCAAGATTTCCCACAGTATCTCAGTAAACTCATATTCTCCATCATAAAGATGATGGTGGTCTTGCATAAGCATTGCAACAGTGGTTATTCACTGGAGTGAGACTCCATTGCGATGGACGATTTTGTCAAGAGCATCTTTATCAAATCATCAGTGCGTGTCGGTATATACCAAGGCCTTCATCGTGTCCCAAATAAAAAAACCGTAATCTGCTCCGAGCATTGAAAAATTATTTGAAGATCAAGTCAAATTGCATTTTTAATTTCGGTCGGAGCACGCATTTCGAAAACTTATCAAAACCACGACTATTGGCATAAATAATCAGGCAAGGAATGGAGATGTGGTTGAAGTGAGATTTTTTGTTTTAAAAATTAATTTTGACGAAATATTTTTGTAACGAGTTGAATCAGGGATATATTATGCATAAAAGCATATTCATGGTGTCTGAAATAAAAATATCAATCCCAATCGTTTCCGTGCTTTAAAATATTGTCGCGGAAACATGTCGCCGCTTTCTCTTATGCGCAGTCACGGATGAATGATTACAATGGAATTATAAAAGAAAATACTTACTGAAGCTGTCCTCGATTTCGTAGTAAACGATTCCTTTCGGCCACATTTTTTCGGGCTTGACCATTGCGTCGTGATCCTACATAAAAGAATCCATAAAACCCGTAAGGCATGGATTTAAAATTTTGAGTAAACACTAACTTTTATGCTATTACAGTATTTGATTTTTTAAAAGATCACAACGAGAGGTTTTCTCTTTCAACCTATGATTTTCGGCGCAAAGAAAGTATACAGCATAATTTTCAACTAAATCCTGAAATTAAAGTTTTTCTTCGAAACAGAACGAAATGAACCTATAGAGGTGCATAATATGAAAATGGAAGTTTTTAGTGCGTACAAATAGTTTCGTCGAAGTTGTCCCAAATGAAGTAAGAATATAGATATACCGTATATACGATTATATATATTTGTAAAAAAAATTTCAACACAGCCGCCGTTATTGTCCTTCCTCTTCCGCTTTTCGAGGGCGGACTCGCCGTATGACCAAAGCTCGGCTTTTCTTTCCTGCTCTTACAACAGTGTTCACTGCGCGTCTAATGTGCTGCAAATTTTTTGCTTGGTCACTGATGCGTTCAAAAAATATATATTTATAACTTCGCCCTCACAAACTATCAAGTTCCAATGGGATGGGAGATAAAATAGAGAATGTAGAGGGAACGGAATTCCCGCCCAGCCCGTTTCGAAAAGTACGCACAGCTTAGACTCAATCATCCGTCCTGCTTCAATTAAGCATGAATTCCTCTAAAAAAAAAAAAGATGCGATAAATCCGGAGAAATATTTTGAAAAGCATTTATTGATATCAATCCGATCCTCGCAAATTTTAAAGTTGAAGTCATAGTGTCACATAATTAATTTGAATTGATTCAAGCGAAATTATCCGGCACAATTATCAAAAGACCCCCAATTCCTTCTTCATGAAATATTAGTCTGAAGAAAAATATTCAGAAATCATTACTGGCAGAATTTCTTCACAAAAAATTTATTTTGAGGAATGTTTAAACAAAAAGTCCTCGTCTCCGATGAAGATAGGATGCTAGAAAAATTAATATTCAAGAATATTCTCTGGTGTACAATGAATAAAGGTTTGATAATGAGTATTTTCCCGGAAAAAATTGAAGAACGTCTATACTCGGTCTTGGACCAGAAAAACAGTTATTCCAACAAGAATAATAATGGAATTCCAGTCTTCTGAAATGATTATGCTGATCATATTTGCAAATTTTTTCTTGCGTGCAGAATTTCAGAGTGATCAGAGGAATTGAATTGAATTTGAGTTTTTTATGAAGTATGAATCATCTATCAGACCTATAATATCCGTCTATTTTTGTCATCCGAAAGAAAAACATGTCATTATCATCATAGATGATTGCGTCTCCTGTGTGTGTTTCCTTTCGATTAGGGATCAATGAAACATGAACTGACCTCGAAGGATTCACCAGGCATGAACATGATGTCACCTTGATAGTACAGCCCGATTTCTGGACTGCTTGACCTTTGGCGTTTCGGAATAGGTCGAGCCAATGTTTGGGCAATCATTGTAGTCATCAGTGAGACGACCAGGATTGCGTCCGAGCATTTTATCCGAATCTCCATTATTATGATTCCACACTCGAAAAAAAAGCGATGCGAAATCCCCGCCGAAAGGTATTCACTTGAACTTTTTTTTTTTTTAGATCGAGTAATCAAAACCGCAAATTATAAACAGCTGACTTCTTCCGCGATTTGAGTCCGAAAACTTGCGTGAATTAGACGGATGTCGGACGTGACTTTTCCACAAGCCCAACTGACGGATGTAAGGAACCTGCAGCTTTCATCGCCAAAATCTCATATTTTCTGAAAGGAATCAAATTAAATTTCTTATTTAGTCGGAGACTTTCATTTCTTTTTTCGTTGGAATTTGAAAATAATAACATGTCGAAGTCACTATTGGGACTCTAAAATCTCACGAATACTTGGAAACAATTTTTCCGCGATGAAGGCAAACATCGATCGTCAACCAACTAAATTAAAAATGAATATTTCATTGTTATTTAGGAAATGGATGTTCGAAATGAATACAAACTACGCACACAAGATGTCAGACTGCACTTCGTTATTCCTGAATTTCTTCATTCCACAAACGATGAAGTCTCTCGTGATTTTCGAGCTAGAATGCAGGATGAAATTTCCCATTTCACTTGGACATTCACTTTCATGTCCATAAGCCGTAAAAGAATTCCTCACGAACTGCTCTCACTTTGGCCCATTCCATTATTTTCTTCCCTATGTGTATATCAAATTTAATTTGAATAATCTCAAAAAAGTTGATATAATATTCTGAGCAAACACGAGCATCATTTTCCATCTTATTTTCGATTACTCTCTTTTTTACCTTTTAGGCACCAGCTATTAAGTTTAACGGAAAACCACTCTCAGCTTTTAAATTAGAGCATACCCGGATTTTTTTAAGCTCGCTTAATTTGCACATTGCCAACACTTTAGAAAAATTTGATTTGGATGATTTCAGAGAAAGCGAACCGAAGCTTCCAGCAATTACAACTTGAATGACTTTGCATGAATAATTTTGAATTATAAAAGGTGCCTCGCTGGATTAGATGAAGGAAAAATGTTCCATTATTCCCAAGCCACATTTCTAAGGGAAATATCTAAAGTTGAGTCATTTTTTGACAGCAATGAAGAAATGGCAAAAATATTTGTAACATATATAGGACCTCTTTGTAATTCTTTGTAATCATTTTTGTGCGGAAATTTTCAAAAATTGTTCCTGATAATTAGAATCTCCGAACATGCAGACTTCGAATTCACAGGCCTGAGTAAATGAATTGAAAACTCTCCTCAACAAACTATGTGGTCTGAATTCTAAGTCGCCAAAACGCCTGCTGGCCAGTTGAGCACAGAACTCACCTAATTAGTCTAAAAAAATGTATAATTTTGTCAGGTGTTTTAATTTGATGAGCTGCCTTCTGCTTGTGCAAATTCATTTTGTATATTGTGACACCACGTGGTTGCATTTGGACATTGCCATGTTCGTAAATCAGATAGATTTATTTACTGTAAATATTTCCCCAGGTTGTTTTGACTGTTGATCTTTTGGTTTAAAAATATTTTTGAACATTCATTCCGCCACAAAATCCACCATGCATTTATTCAGAAGGGAAACTCAGCTGATATTGAATTTTTTCAATACTATACAGGTGGTCTCTGTACAACGAAATTTAAATTACGAGCAAAAATCCGATGTAGGGAGAATCTCTTTGTAGAGAACCCCTTTAACATGGGTATAGACTAATGGAGAACCCCATGGGACCACATGAAAATGTTACACAGAGAAAATTAATTTAGAGAAAGTCTATCTGTGCTTAGTTGCGTTTTGTATGAAGGCAAAAATTTACAGAAGAAAATTATGTCGTAAATTGTGCATCTTTTAAATAATTGATAAGAAGTACAGTAAAGTGGACCCCGCCTAACAGACCTCCCGTGTAAGGGATTTTTGCCGAACAGACCAGCTCTGCAAGCAGTTTTTCCTCCCGCCCAACAGACAAAATCCGCCCAACAGACTTCTTTAAGTTTAAAATTAGTGTTGAAAATTTAAATTTTTAATTTTTTATGTAATTGAATTTGTGTAAAGGACTTTTAGTCTAACAGACTTGTCCCTTGCACAAATCAAGTCCATTAGACGAGGGTTGACTGTATATAGGAAGATGTTGAGTACTACTAGCTGGCCTGATTTGTGTGCGTTGAGTGTGAGACAACGACAAGAAAATTGTACTGTACTGTGTATATATACCTTTGAAATTATTTTCAATAATGTCAAAAGCATCTTTCATCTTTGTTGAATTACTCAGCTAGAAAAAAAAAGTGGGAGGCAGTATTTTTTTTCTCTTTTTTTCAAGGCACCGAACACACACTCAACAAACGCCGACGGGTGACTGCATTTGCGGAACCCGCGCACGCGAAAGTTTCCCTCCCCGTAATTCCTCCGTCATCGCCATAATCAAACGTGAGACGTATATACACACACAGCATATAGAAGGTGCACAACACATTCTGAGAGTCCCACAACAGAATCAACCAAGTTCCATTCCTCTATCATTAAGCAATATTTTGCCTCTCCTCTCAAAAATCTCCATCTCCTGCTCTTTTTGCGGCGGCCGGTGTCAAAATTCACTTTTTTTCGTCATCACGTCCGTAATTCGAAGCAGGACACCCAGGTTTCTGTCCAACCCCTCTGCGTGAAATGACCACAGCAACTTCCTGATGCGGTGCTGGTTGAAATTTCCGAACAAAATTAATTGAATAGGAGAATGAATTCATTTTTTGTGGTAAACGATGCGACAAAGTATCAAGCAAGTGTCCACGGAGTGCACGGACCAGCACGGGTCTGCAGAATTTTTTTGCAGGTCCGCAGTAAATTTTCTTTAGCATAATAAATTTATCAAAAATACCAATGAAGTCTGCTATTTATTATCTGAAGTTTTGGAAATGCAACAGCAATTGAAATAATCTGATGAAAATATTCGCTTTTTTCTCCTAATAATGCTTCAGACACATTTTCAGCTGCTGAACGAAATTATTTTTGTTCCTCTTTTTGAGAAACCTTTCTTCAAGCCCACGTTTTATATTTTTTATTTTTAAAGACATTCCACTGTTTAGCTACTTTGCTGGTTCTTAACTTAATTTTTGCGAACAACCAGAAGATTTTTTGAGTCTTAAATTAGTTTAACTCTGCTAGTTCACCAAAGAATTTTTGGAAATTTTCCAGTTAGTAAAACATTTTATGCTAATTTGCCGGTCTATAGACCAAAGAAGGTATGGAAACAATTGTATAAACTATAAAGGATGGTTGGCCCTTGGAATAAACTGTACTGTACTGTATAAGCGTCCCGCAAAGATTGAATAAATCCAAGTCATTTCGGATTCCGGAATTATTGAGACAATATTTTATAAATATGAATATCCCTCATTCGTGTGATTTGAAGACTGTCGAGAGGCGAATCCGTAAAAAAAATCAAAAAATCGCTGAAGCCAAGTGAAAAATAATTTCAAAATCGGAAGCTGAACTCCCCCCCCCCCCCAGAAAATGCGCCAGCAGTCACATAATTATTGAGACTCGGAGTCATTGATTGTGACATTTCTTGGGGGCAAAATTTCGATTTAGCTAATGAGTTGGTCAGCGATTAGCCTCCTGCTTGGTTCGTTCGTATTTCGACACCCCACTCAATCTATGGTCAGTCAAGAGTCGGTTCTATATATGAAGGACAATTTCCTGGTTTGCCTCATTCGAGGAAAGAGTGAATTTTTGAGCCAAATCGGCGTTTATTGTCATAAATCACCCGATAAGAGAGGAACTTTGTCAACACGTTACAAACACGGATAACGTTTCAATCGGCCATGTTTTCTAGGAGCCCTAAATCCTTTTTTTATTCCACACTCGTGTTTGAGCAGGCCGGCATCAGCTGAACTGATGTGTGATTGAAAATTCAACTAACTTGAAATGTCTTCAAGTTTAATTTCAATAGTTTCCCGTATTATGGTGTCAAGTCAATGAGTCATACTCGGCACGTACAAGTGATATGATGTAATGCCATTGAAAGAAATATATTTTTCAGAATATGTCTTGAGTTTCCCAAAAAAAAAAGAAGCTAGTCCCATATTATTGCTATCAGAGCACTGGAAAGTTGAGAAATATGTCAGATTGAATGACCTTTTTTCAGTGAGGCTCCCAGAAATCGTCTACAGGATTTTTCAAGAAATTATTTTTGCACTTTTTGATCAAGATGGAAGCATGAACGATCAATAAATCGACTTGAATGAATATCCTAAACTTCAAGAGCTCAGCGATGAAAAAAAATGCTTCACTCGATCAGCCATTTTATTTCTCCGATAACGGAAAACATGATCATTTTGGATAGCTTATTACAGTGCTGATGTATGGTCCCGTTTTTAAAATCTATGGAATTGCTTCCTTAAACATTATCATGACAACTTTAAAACCAAAACAAGGCAGGTAAAGATGATGAAGACCACAGTCTCGTAAACGCCCGTCAACCACGTGCTGCTCCACTTATTTTCCGTACTGCGTCCCGTACTAAGCAAGGCAACGGTGTTAGCTAAGATATACAGGATGTTATGAAATAATTTTATTGGCATTTTCAAGATCTTTTCTGTGTTATCAAACTTGTGCATAGAAAAAGTTCGAGAAAATTTGGTTGAGTTGAATCCACACGCAGAGCGTGGAAAAAATAGCACCCAAAAAATAATTCTGTTCATGGTATCCCATGAATTTCACCTTGAAGTACCGTATATTTCCGTGAGCCTGATTTATTCACAGGAGAGGATTCTAAGCGTCCGATTTGTGAAGTGGAATTTCCCTAAACAGCGTTGAGTTTTTGAGTGGAAATTTTGAAGAATGAGTGTGGAAGTGGACTGGATCATTACTACGAGGCTTTTATTCGGCGCAGTATTTTCAAAGAGGCATTCGAATTTTTACTGCTATTCGTACATGGATTGTTTTAAATATTATAATTGAAGATGCCAGCGAAATGAACCAGATAGACGTCATTCAAGAGAAGTACTGTATAGGAATCTTCACT